CTCAAAATAGTAAAACGTATAGGTAAGTGTGAAAAAAAGTAAATGCTAGCTATTTAAATTATTATTTAGTTAAAAAGTCAGTACCTACTTTTAAAAATAATTTATAATTTATATGTTCACTGTAAAATGCAATAACAATCACACTGTATATTGTGTGCATAAAATACGAATGGCGTATAAATCTGTATATGTAATTAGGTACTGATTATAAAGTAAAAGTATGAAAATATAAAATGTTCAAAGTATTTCAAATTTTTCTGTGTATGTATGTTGTATTTGTTGACATCTATAGACTATAAGTATATAAACATTTATTTCTCGTATCAGTTGTTGGAAAACTTACTGGCACTTTACGTATTATGCATCATGTATGATGAACAACGCAGCAGTTATAATACTAAAGGCGACATGACTGCATATACCAACAAAATTTAGTTTTTCATTGTAGGCGCATCATGACGCATTCATTTGAAACGAAAAAAAATTTGGTATTTACAAGAATGGTTATTAAATGTTCAGTTTTTAGAATAAGTTTATTTATATGTTTTTATATTCTATGATGTTTATTGCAATAATAAAATATAATATCTTTTTATTTCCCATAGGTACCTATAATAGAGACTATTTTCTATGAGTTTGACTAGATATAAGAGTCAACTACAGCTGGCCTAGTTTTGAAATGGAAAAACTAAAAATGCATAATATAACCACCACAAAATAATATAATAGAATAAAATACATTTTTCAGTTCTCGCCATTCAAGATGTACAGAGAGTGATTAATTTTAATGAGAATATCGACACCTCTGTATACTCTGTATAGCAATTCTCTCTTAAAATAATAACATACAACTGGTAGTTCTAATACAATCCATGCCATATATTGCTACGATCCATTTAGTGTAAAATAAAATATATCGTCATAAAATACGTAGCACTGAAGTGCTTGTATTATATTTTTCTAGTATAATTTTCGGATCGTGGCGGTCAGAACATGTCGATCAATCAACGGATCGACTTTAGAGTTTTGAGCGCGGCCAATTTAATTATTATTTCCTTCCGGTTCTCTGCCAAGAACATCGCTCAACGTCATATCGCAAAACCACGACGAAAATAATAATAAGGTAATACGCAGATTTTTACACACGATAATAATAATGATAATATTAAAACGAGCAATATAATAATAGGAATAAGAATAACGCAGGGATCGGAAAATGAAAAAAAATAAAAGCATCGCGCTGCAACCCACTCATCGCTACTCGACCGAACGACGCCGCTGGCCCTAAAATATTATATTATATCATTATTATTATTATTATCCGCCGGGAGGAAAAACAGACGTTTCCGATGACCGGCGTGTATATACAACGCAAACACTGTCACGTTGAAAATATATAAATTATTATTAGACGAATATTATCGATTGGTCGGTATAGTGCGACGTAGAATGTTTACTCGTTTTCGGTATTAAATTCTCTCGACGTTTATTATATGACACTATATACACACGCCCATGCACAATGTAGTTATAAAATGTGACTACTCCTAACGCGGTCGGGGTTCAAATAATACTATATCTATTATATTGGATGGAGGATACAACAACCCCCCTCCCTCCGTAGGCTACAAAACTGTCAAATATTATAATAGTAAAAAAAATTGATTACAGTTGGTTTCGCGATGAAAATACATACGGTAGGTATGATGATCGTTGCGAGGTATTTTCGATGGGACCTGTCTTAAAAGGCACTATACTGCAGAGTGGGTCTTTGCTTTTTTTGTGTTCACTGTGTAGATAACTGTGGCGTATCCTGTTCATATGTACATTAAATACATTATGATTCGCCAAGCATGTCCACTCCCATTTTTCCCTTTAATAATGAATTTATTATTTACATTTTGGAATTTTGAAATTATATAATTATATAGGTATCTATATTTGATTCTGGCATACTGATATAAGCTACCTGATACTTAAAGACCATATTTTCAAATTCTTGAGATAATATTTAATACATGCTGAACAGTGTATGCTGATTATTTTGAAGTAGGTAAACGTTAAGAGTATTCTATTTCAGAAGGTAGTTACTAAAGTCATTTTAATAATATACACTTTACCTTTAGGCATATTTTTATCACAAATGTCTAATTTATTCTAAAATACAAAATGTGTTTTTACCTTAAGGATTTTCAATTTAAAATTTGTCTCAACGACAATCATATATATATATATATATATATACATTTTTTATTCGATAACATTTTAAGCAGAATAGTACGCTTTGCGGTTAATTATAAAAAAAACTCAATACATAATTAGCTCTCACCACGGTGAGACTTTTTTATACAGTATAATATTCTTGAATAATATCATATATTATATTCAAATCATTAATTTTAATTATATTGATGCATAATAATATTATTAACATAAAAAACAATGACTGTCCTATATAACTTTGTTAAGAACATTCTTTTACGAGTATTTATTTTTTTAAATTTAATATTCTGAATCATATAAGTATAAAATATTGTTTATCAACTATGGGTTGAATATATTTAATCAAGTTAAAATTTAACTGCAAAACAATACCGTTCTCGAAACTTATTTTACTCCACTTGCAGACGTTTAGTACTGTATGTTTTATATATTTTGTATGTTAAGTCATAAAAAGTGTAACAGAAAGACCCCACAAATGAAATAATTTTTGTTTCTAATTAGTATTTAAACTAAAAACCTTTTTTTTAATAATTTAAAGACGCTTGCATTACTGTAGCTAAAGTATACAGTTTTTTGGAAAAATTCAAAATAGCCAATTTGTAAATCTTGTTTTTAAACAACTTTTGATGATAAAAACGTTTATTTAAGTCAAGTGTCAAGTAGCTTACTTTTTTAAACTTTAAAATATCAATATACCTTTGGAGTAAATTTTTTTGAAATATAATAATTTTTTGTTATTTCTTGCCACTACATGTATTTTTCTTCAACTATGTATTATACTATTATAGTAATTTTCTCCATACGTATATACCTAAATATCTAATATACATTAAAAAAAACACTAAACACTGACATACGGTTTTTGTGTACGTGTATTTGTAGAAATATACACAGCATAGATTTAAACTTTGAAACAAATTGATATTGTGATATTTAAATCAAACACATTCACACGATGAAGTATATACCTACAATATGGAAATATGCTACGAGTATAAAATTACTGTGTCGTGATTTTTCATTCAACAATTTTTTTCTTTTTTAATTGTTTTATACCAAAACGAATAAAAGAATTAAATTCTGAATATTCTTAACAATTTGAATCATATATACCTAATGTTTCTTTACATTATTTTATATATTATTATTATTATTATTTATTTTTATTTTATATTGTTGTTTTCTACATTAACTTTTGGGTCGACGTCAATACAGCAATTTATATTGTATCTACATGTTAATAACAATTTGAACTTTGCTTTGGGCTTTATGACTTTTGTGTTATAGAAGCCTCAAATTAAATAATAAAGGCTTTGCAAATATGGTAAATTCACGTATATGAGGCTATTACCAATAATATTACACCCTTTTTTGTCCTAAAATAATGTGTAATAATTATTTTATTTCTGATTGTAATTTGTATTTTTAAATAGATTTGATACTTAAAAATTATATTTTAAAATAATTCTTATATTTTTCTGATCTCATTTTTTTTATTGTTTTTTGTTTTTTAATAAATAGGTACCCAATAAATATTTTATATAGTGCCCTTTGAGCCTAACACATACAACATATACCTCTCATCGCATATCGCGAATTGCACATTTTATGTTGTATGTTGATTGAGAATGTAACTTTTAAATAATTAAAATTAAAATTAAATTAATACACATCTTACTTAAGCATTGTCGATTATTGTATTTATTGCGATCTTTAACAATTCTATTTCTATACATACGCATTTATGAGTCATAAAGGTGGTAAACTGCATATTTGTATTATTGGATATACATTGTATAATAACTGAAATAACACGTCCATGATAAGTATTTTTCATTTGAGTTTTACGATTTCTTCATTTTATTTGGTTTTATACCATCATAATCGTATCATACTATTTTATTTTATACATAATAATATAATATGTGATGGTAGTATCAGTGCTGTAAGTAGGTAGTAAAAAATACCTAATCATTACTCAATTGAAATGAAAGCATCAAATTTTATTTTTGTAAACTGCAACAAATTGTATATACGTATAATATTTTTATTTATATTTTTACACAAACTTTTTTTTTTCTTAAAATAATTGCAATAACACGCAACGCAGCTATTTATAGAATAAATTGTTGGATTATAACAACGTTTAATCATTTTATATTATTTCAAAAAAAATAAAAATAAATTAAATAAAACAATTTTTTTATATTAATATAGTTAACAATTGACATTTTATCTCATACATATACATATTATTATAATATTACATAATATATTATTTTTTGTTATTTTGTGATCATGTTCAGGGCAATGATTATATTAACGTGTGTCATATTGTGTGAATATATTGTATTGTATAGTTATGACTTGTTTGGGTTGCGTTTTGGCGGTGTTTTTGATTTCAAAGCCGTTTAGACGTCCCTCGGTGAATTATATATATTTTATTTACTACTAATATAGTATAGGTAAATAGGTATTAAAAATGACCTCATGCAATACCTCTTAAACTAATTGATCGATATTTTAACATTATAATGTATATATCGACATATATATACACCGCGTGTATATAACATGATAAGTACGCGTTAAGAGATAACATATTTAAGTTTTAAAATTATTCACATACACAGGTATTTATATATATATATTAKAATATATAGGGAGAGTACAATATTATAAAATAGGTTTTAAAAAAAACCGATCATCTACGATAATCGTCGTTTTAATTATTTTGCTTAAAATTTAACATAATATACGATTCTACTTATTAAGATACAACCGGACGGCAGACCGTTATTTTTTCTAATGGGCTATTCGTTTACGAATTTCTAGAACCGATGTAGGCGTTAGTATTTTTATTTTTTCACAACTCTCCATCGATTTAAAAAAAAAACATATTAATATCAAATTCGTAAAAGAATGCAAACGCGTCCGCTGCCAGTTTTTGGTAACATTCGAACCACCAGCGAGCCTCGTCAGAGGATTTCTCTTAGTTTTATAATATTCTAATTTTATATAAACCGACATTATTATTATTAAATTAAATTTAAAGGGGTTTTTTTTTAAACTTGTTTTTTTATTATTTAAAAATAAAACACTATCATATTATCTAATGATATTGTGTATTCAAAAAAATTACACGCTTATTGTTAAAACACCGAAAACACTACTACTGGGACACGTCTGAACAGCGAGTGAAACGAAAAGACCGCCATCACGATGCCATGGCTGTATACGGCTGGAAAAGGACAGTGACGGTGCGGTGATAAGTTTATTTTCTTCGGTCGTCAGTGAATGCCCTCCAAGGGCGAATAGGACTTGTATTGGTACAGGTCCTGTCCACCGTATCCGTACAAAAGCCGGCCGCGACCATGTTCGTCGTAGTACGGATATCTATACTTTGGTCTGAAAAATCACAAACGTGCACAATGTTATTAAAATTTATTACGATGAATTTATTATAATACATGTATTACAAGGCGTAAATTATTTGTGCTCTGCAGTTTTATAAATTTACGGCATGCAGTGTTGTACATATTTGTAGAGATTTTCACCCTCACCTCCCTCCCCATTGGCGATCCCAAATAATTTCCTATGAGGGAAGGGATCTATGTAATCTATATTTACTAAATTGGTGCGTTACAGAAAATTCTTTGTAAAACAAATTTAAAATTCTAGTGGGATGCAAGTACCCCCATATCTAGTCCATGCCACCTACCCTTTTCACTCAAGACGGTCGAGAGGTTAGAGGCTGTTCGAGTAATATCGTCAACTCTCGAACGGAATTTTTTAAACACAATCTTGGAATTCTTTTACAGCTAGATACGCTCATTACTAGTCAAAATTAAATAAAAATGATGATTTACGGATGTTTTTATTGGGTTTTTATAACTGCGGGGATAACGACAAGGTGCCGTGAAAGTAGCCAGTAGGTATATACATAAATCCGCAGTGTGCTATATTTATACTATTCACGACACTGTTTATTGTCCGCAGGGCGCAGGTTAATTTGCTGCAGTTGCAGTTTCAGTTACACASACACACATATTTATAACTTTAAGTTGTATATATAGGTACGTACCTTTCGAAGTATTGAAAGTTTGGCGCTTTGGGCGTCAATGTTGCGCTGACCACGGAGACGGCCAACGCTACCGACGCAATCGCCAACAAAATCTGAAAATACAACAACAAAACGGTAAAGCTACTGCAATATAATATAATAATAATATTCTCTTAATTATTATTATACATCGTTAAAATTAATTTATGGCCGCCGTATTACCATCACTGCAGGGGCGTGTGTAGATGATGCACGATATTACATAGGTAAATAATAATAATAATAATAATATGTGGCGCAAGACGTCTAGAAGGAACTGTTATCGGTCGTTTGATGACATAATGATATGCATAGGAGGGTCGCGCCGCCGTGCCAGGGTCAATTATTAATATACGACGCGCATGTTATAATAATGTAGCTGTAACATATTATGTAGTTTTTATAATATTATTATATAGGTATAAGACTTAGGGCAGGGGTGATAAATTATTTGAACGTCAAGTACCAAAAATTACCTTTTTTTTTTCGAACCAGCCACGAAAAGTGTTATGTATTGTATATTAGGTATGTATAGCCAAAAAAAGTATACATAATATATATATATAAATAACAAAAATATTTTAATTTTTTGCGTTCCCTCAAAATCTTTTCGCGTGCCAAGGAATTGCCATTCCTGACATAGGTACCTATTGTGGTCGGACACGAATACAGAAACAGCTCGGAGGGAGGGGAAATTAAAAATTCGTTTATCGTCAGTAAACAAAATATTGTTGATTTATCATTCTGACGTTATCATTAAAGCAGTGTTTCACATTGATGTATTTTATAGTGGCGTGTCACACAACGTAGTGTGGGTATTACGCTTGTTTATGATTTACGATCTTAAATAATATTATAATATACCTATTTTGATTTTGTACTTCACCGCTTGTAATAGTTCATACTACGAAAGTTTCATGATACGAAATTTTAAGTATTTTTGCGACACTCGGCTCGACTATAATAATATATATTATTCGCCTAAGCACTTGTTTTTCAAAATTATTTTTCACGTATATTATAATAACGTATTAACGTGTTGGTCTTTTACTTTAGAACTTTTTACGCAATCTATACAGACATGTTATTCCAAATGTTCTCAACCCTCACATATTGAAAATAAAAATATTTGGATAAAGCAACGACTAATGACAAAGGAACAATATAAAACCACACAAACACAAACACGATATGTAAACAAAAATAATTTTTTCGCGGCGGCGGGAATCAAAATGTATTGTACTTGAACATCAAAAGCGTATACTGACAAATTGACATGTCAGCCGTTGATGCTTTGGACGATTAATATTATCATCGTCCATGTCGCAGCACGATTATGGGTTAATACGCCACAACGTGCATGAATCATTATTAATTAATTAATTTTTTTTTTTATAATAATATAAACATAAATCTGTACCATTATTAATTTACCATGTAAAAGTAAGGTTAGCTTTATAAGCGGTTATCATGGTTATCAATTTTGGTTTTTGCACCAACAACGCTTTTCAAAAGGTATATTAAAAAACAAAGTAATATAAAACGAACGTAAGAACATTGAATTCGATACAATGCAATGTATTGAACGGGAAAATGTCTTATACGGGAAAACGTATTGCACGGCGGGAAAATAGTTACGGAAAACCATCTGACGGGGAAATGGCAAACTATATAGGAAGTGTCCTAGATATTCGCATGGCGACACACACTGCAACAGTGTGACCTATATACGAGTACAGTGGAACCTCGATAACTCGAATCGGTTGGGGACGAAAAAAAAAATTCGAGTTATCGAAGTTCCACTGTTTTATGCTATATAATATTATATGGCTATATGACTGTATATTATACATAGGTACTTATTACGTTTGTGGATGTATTACGTAGTGCATGTGCAAACCGCGCTATATATACAATTAAATTATATTTTATTTACGCTCGCGATTTTTATGTTATTGGTAACAAAATAATTGCCTACCCATATTATATTATAATACAATAATAATAATAACAATTATAATTATAACCTAACTTAACCTATAATAATTATTATTATTATCGACTATGTTTTGAATATTAATTGATTGTCTGTTCAATGAGTTGTATAATAATAATATTATAACATATAATATAAACAACTGCTATGATGGCGAGTGTTAAAATTTGTTTTTGAAATATATCAAATTTTAATAGTATATAATATAATACATATTCACCAATCGCCAATATAAGATTGAAGAGTTGCCCAATTGTTACAAATGAAAATAATATCGACGTCGTATTTTGAATATATATTATATTTAATTTTTGATATTTCGCTTCTCTATATTAATCATTCTTCGTTCCTCTATCGAACTCTATCCGCGTGCACCTCTCTCTCGCCTCCGAATTTTACATAACGTCGGAAAAATCACTATGATTGTCGTCTGTGACTAAAAACTCGCCAACGAGTGTCTTTTTGTCGCATACATAAATTATATATTCCAACGGTTCAAAAACGGCACCCGTTCAAACCGAATAATATGCGCATTTGGACGGACGGCTGGCTCATGACCCGTATAATAATGTACAACACCCATTCCGTATAATATTATCATTATATTTTCTCGGTGTATATATTCAGAGTATTATTATACAGAGTGTGCGTACTGTCAATCATAACTTTTTTTACGACTTTAATATGCGCTCATTATAATTATTGGGCCACGTGTGCGTTTGTTGATATTTTATACTTCTTGCGTCGTATTTATACATTTTTGCAGATGGCCAATTTTGTTTACGTTATATATACATATATAATATAATATATATTATGTATACTCAAAGTTGTGGAAAAATATGTAAAAGTCATGTTATTTGTTCTCGTCGAGCGGATTTACTCCAATGATGTAGCCTAGGCCGTTATAATACATACCGCATAATATTATGTGGTACCTAGTTTTGTGTTTGAAATGTACTCGTAAAATCACTTGAAACTGTATGTCTGTATGGCTTGTATGCTGTGCACTGTGCATATAGTTCATAGTAAATATATACATATGTATTCTATACAATATATTTATGTGATGAAATACCGATGAATAATGATTAGTGATAATCGATGGACATTTTGTAATAACACGATTTTTTTGTAAATTGGTGATGTGTAGCCCAAAGATTTGGTTGATATCTAAGACCGTTGTGTTTTTTTTAAATTTTAATCAGCTAACAGTGTATGCAGTGATAAAGTTAATAATATAAAAAAATAAATAAATAAAAGCTTTTATAAAAAAGTAATCGATGACGGGATGAAGAGCAATTTATTATGGGGGAAACTATCGCTGTACGGCGTTAGGAAGGAAATTATTTACTGTAGATACTACCTATATAAGTACCTACATAATTTCAAACAAACAAAATAAAAACCGCGAAAAGAAAGAAAAAAATAATTAACAATCTAGTGTAAATTTCGCCAGCTTTCGATAGTATTTTCGATCTCATTATGTATGTATTATGTACTAACAAAGCCATCGTCGCCGACTGGACAAAGTGAAATCAATAGTAACAATTCGGATTTTCTTATCACGCGTTTCAATCATTATCGTCGCATGTCTAAACGTGCTCGTTTTCGGTTAGAACAAATATTTAAGGATTTTGTTGTATACGCGCATAATGTCGCCGTTGGTAACCTAATTAAAAAATAATAATTGTCAAGAAGTTTTGTACATATTATATAATATCATAAATATACTCATAATATATATATATTAAAATGTCTTAGACCAATCGTATTACGAACTGCACAGCTTATAAACTTTATAAAGCGTATGATGTCTATTATAACAAAATTATGATGATTTTTGTTGAGTTGTTTTATTAAAAATTATTTTCATTTATCTAATTGACAATTTTACAAGACTCGTCACGCGCGTTTGTATGTATACCTATATTTTATTATCTCCTATTATAATTTATTATTTACACTCAAGCGCTACCACGTGCCACTCGTTGCTACTCCATAGTGCCTAATTACGGTAGGTTAGTATGCTTTATCTGCAGCTATATTCGCACAAAACATGATGATGTCTGCAAGTGCATTTTGGGAAAAATAGTAGAATAGAGACGCAAAATGATGAAGGTATGCATTATAATAAATAATAATTGTGGATTAGAGAAACTATACAGCTCAAAAGACAACGACAATATTATCAAATCCAATGTTTAAAATTTTAAATACATAATCTAAAATTATAATACAAAATCAATAGTACGAGCAGTATCTATAGTACAATATTATGTCCGTTTATAAGATATGGTAGGTATGTATATTAAAACAAGCATTTAATATTTATAGCTGTACAATTTCATGCATATTTAAAACCGATATAAGATTGTGTCTAACGTGAATACTTAATATTATATGATTGCGGTTTTATTATTTTAGATTACATATTTTTCTTTAATTACTCATATATTATAGTATTATTTTCTTAATAATGGATTTGCATGCAATAAATTATTATTTTTGTGAGATATTCACGTATGGCTTTCGTGTAGGTTTCACTGGTTCTAAGCGCCCGACGACGTTCTGCGTCATTCAGAAGGAAAAAAATTGAACGTATATATATATTATAGGTATACACTTTTCTCGTCATCGTTCATCCTCTCCGATTCCCACCATCAATACGATACACACCGAACATTGATAAATGATTATATTTATATATTATGAGTATGACGTAGTATAGTCCGTGGAACATAGTCGCGCAGCATTGTTTTATACAACAGAAGAATGTGATGTATATATATATATATATATATATATATATAAATTGTACTACATTTTTTGACTAACCGAATATTTATTTTTATTATTATATACATACAAGGTATCGATTACAAAGGTCATTGGCCGTGATTGGTGTGTTACATGAAACTAATATTAAAATATATATAAATATGACGAAAAAGAAAAAAAAAGTAAGTACAAAAATGAAAGGCTTAAAATTTACCGAATAATATTTAGATATTGAGGTATATATTATTTCATTTCATTTCCTGTGTTTGCCTACAATCTAATGACACTATCGCAATA